GCCCCACCTACTAGTACAGTAGCCAATCATCGATCGCTATAGACTGTCGTTTTTCCCAGCGAGAAGCTCGGATCAGAAGTGTGCTTTAGTGTTCACACTGGAATCTAAGCGAATACTTGCTTCACAGACATAAGAAATATATTCACATAAAGCTTTATATCTGTATTTTTAAATTAATCTGCTACACATGAAAACAAAAGTTTTCTGGTTTGTAATCTGTATAAAATCTGTATGAAAAGAACATGAGGTACAGTCCTGTCAAACGCACATCACATGACCGCTACTACTGAAACACAAACTAGTAAACAAGGAGGAGATTCAACATCAGGACCAAGTAGTGAATTACTTCTGAAGACCAGTGCGATCTGATGAAGCATTATTTATAGGAAAGTAATGTGTGACGGCCATAAATGAGGTTGGTGTCTTGATTTCGTTCTTTTCGAGTGCGCATGCCCATTAGCTCAATCAACCTGAAAAAAAGCATTTTGTTTGATTTGAATGTTTTGAAATGAAACTTTTTTTGTTTAATTTTATTGGTGATTTCAAATATGTAAAAACAGTTTTGGAGAATTTGATGTTTCCCCATTGAGACAGGATGCTCGAGCATAATGCCCGAGAGGCGTTTCAAAGATGGCCTCCGTGTGAAATGACTTATCTTGAAGGAACATTAAGAGTTAACTGCTTAAAAAGGCAGTTTAATTATTCAGAAATGTTTATTTAGTATCTTTAGGAATAAAACTCTTTAGTTTTATGCAAGAGACAGGTGTTTTAATCTCATGAAAGATCAATCAACAAATAATTATTTTTGTAAGAGAAAAAAACTGCTGTAAATTATAGACAAAGTTACCTGTTGGTTTTAGGCTTTTGTTCTTGTTCCACAAAACTTAAGGAAAAGGAAACAACAATAAAACTATATGGAGAGCTTTCACTGTACAGAACATATACTTTTTAACCTGAATATTATAGACTCATCTGCCTATAGCTTGCTTGAACAACATGCCTTCTACACTACATGACAAAAGTCTTGTTGCCTATCCAAGTTTTAGGAACAGCAAATAATAAAGCAAAGGCCTATAGATTAAGCTTATTTTACCAACATAAAATATGATCATGACTTGATTTTCAATTATTTAATTATGACAGTAAGGTCTGACTTTGCTAAGACAAAAGTCTTGTCACTTAATAGAAATAATGTACAGTATATAATATAAAGTCATGGTGCAGTGGAAAAAGAATTAATATTGTGTATGAGTCCCATTAGCTTGGAGGACTGCATCCATACATCTCTGCAATGACTCAGATAACTTATTAATAAAGTCTGGAATGGCAAAGAAAGCATTCTTGCAGGACTCCCAGAGTTTATCAAGATTCCTTGGATTCATCTTTAATGCCTCCTCCATCTTACCCCAGACATACTCAATAATGTTCATGTGTGGTAACTGAGCTGGCCAATCCTGGAGCACCTTGACCTTCTTTGCTTGCCGGAACGTTGATGTGAAGGCTGAAGTATAAGGAGCACTATCCTGCTGAAGATTTGTCTTCTCCTGTGGTTTGTAATGTAATGGGCAGCACAAATGTCTTGATACCTCAGACTGTTGATGTTGCCATCTATTCTGCAGATATCTTGCATGTCTCCATACTGAATTCACATCGGTTTAAGGCATTGTCCACTTGAGATCAGATTAAAAAAATGCCCTTTTAGTACAAATAAAAAATAGATATATTTAAAGGATATAAATTGTGCATAACAGTTATTTAAAACTTTCATTATTCGTGGCAATTAGCATTTTTGGTGCCTGTTTCGGTAAAGATCGTCTTTTTCATGTTTGTTGAGATAGAACTAGAATCCCACATTTCACATGTGAGAAGCACAGACTCATTCACAATCTCTTTAATCCGTTCCAGAGATTATCATTTTGTTTGCTTGTATTTGCTCAAATGTTCACACTGTTCCTCTCTTTATCATCACATTAGCGTGAAATGTGTCATGAAATAAAATTCCCTGCACAGTTGTCTCTGTGAATTTAGCTGGGCTAGAAATGTGTTAACTTTATAATTTTATTTTACAATTTATTTAACTTGTTGAAGGGGGTCAGCTTCAGCGTTCAGTGATTTGTCTTATTGGCAGCCTTTGTTTGAAACACTTTCTCATTTGAATGACCTGCACTGCTCGTCTCACTCTCATGCTTCAGGGTCTGCTGGCAAAAGGTCAACCCTGCCACACCGCTTCACCGCTGCTTTCTTTTACAAGCCATCTGAATGGACACAGATCTTCGCTCTAGTTCACCTGTCTGATCTTTCTGCCAGCGCCAGAAAAGACTTTATGTGACAGCCAAAGGATAATCAGAATTTCATTAGTCTCAAATGTGATGCCTTTAAAAAAAAAAAAAAAAAAAAACAATTTGAACAGTGTTAGGATTTTGAGATCTGGAGTATGTACGGAGTATTATTTCCAGCTGTACATCTTTAGCCAACACATTTATCTTAAGTGATTCAATAGGAACAGCTCTAGAGTGAGACGGCAATTCTGCTGGTGTGTCGGGTTCTTAAAGAAATTGATGGAGGATCTGCACAAGAAGCAGATTTAATAGCCTTCGGTTAAGTTGCCATTATATTTTGTCTTTTGCGCAGAGCATGAGAATGTGGGCTCTTTCTGCAGGATGTCTTTCCTGTTTTGCTTTCTGTAAGATGGACAGATTGGCAGGAGGGGCTCAAATGATTGAGTGTAGCCATGGCTACAGTATGACTGTGTCACCATGGTGATCCAGCCTCCTGACTTTTACATATGCAAGATTCAGGTTGTGCAAAACATCCTCATAACAGGTAAAATGGCAAGGTGTTCTCCAAGGCTCGGTATTGGGCTGTCTTTTATTTTCCCTTACAGCCATGCTCTGAAGTAGCTAAAACGCTAATGGCAGATTAAATCGCTTTAGTCTCAGTGTCTGATGCACAAGTGTCATGTCAGGATGACCTTGATACTATGATAGATGTGCTGCCAAATGAGATTGAGAATATAATCTTCCATAGAGTACAATCTGGTGTTTGTTTAGATGAATTCAGCAAGTAATCCTCATTTGAATCGGACTTTATGGTATAGAGAAAAATGGATGAGTATTCATGTTTGTCATTTAAAATGGGTCAAATTTACGTTCAAGGTTTTAGGCAAATGCTCTTATGTATTGTTACTTTAAAATGGTTTAGTTTACAGACACATTTCTGTGGTTAACAGATGGTCATCCGCTAGGAATAGAAGCACTGGAATTGACTGTACATGTTCATTAATACCAAAGAATACACAAGACTTGTCACCGGTATTGTTTTGATTTGGGGAAAATTATAACAGTCAAAATGGTTATTGAAGCCCTGCCTACTAGTACAGGAGCCAATCATCGATCGCTATAGACTGACGTTTCTCCCGGAGAGGAAGCTCATACCAGATGCGTGCTTGTAGTGTTGAGGTACTCGTACTTGAACTCGGACTTGAGTCCGGACTCAAGTCCAATTTTGATTGGACTTGAACTTTTCACAGATTTAGGTGTACTTGTTCTCTGACTTGGACATTTTCGAGTCCACATCATCTACAACACAAATAAAGAGATTAAAAATGTATAAATAACTGCATGAAATTTTAACAAGAATTTAATGAACTCTCTGGCTGTGAGAGTTTAAAATATTAATTTAAATGTTTAAACAATTGTTAATTGAATTTATTTGATTTATTGATTTATATCCGGTTTCCTACACAGTCCAAAGACATGTGGTATAGGTGAATTGGGTAAACAAAATTGGCATTAATGTATGAGTGTGTTTGTGTGCAAATGACCCCTTCTGGACTCGGACTCGACTGGTTAAGGACTTGGACTTGACTTGGACTCGACAAAAGTGGACTTGACCCTAACACTATGTGCTTGTACAACAGTTTTTGTGGTCGACAAACACACTGCAATTTAAGCGAATACTTGCTTCACAGACATATAAAATATATCTACATAAAGCTTGAAATCTCTACTTTTAAATGAACCAATTACACTTGAAAACAAATGTTTTTTTTTGTTTCATAATTTGTATGGAACGAACGCAAGGTACGGTCTATCCCATCAAACGTACAACACATGACAGCAACTACACGAACGCCCACAAACTTATAAACAAGAGTCACTATCATTTCTGGAGGAGATTCACCATCAAGAATAAATTGTAAATTACCTCAGAGGAGCAGTGCGATCTGACGAAGCATTATTCAGATGTATAGAACGGCTATAAATGAGTTTAGTATTGTGATCTCATTCCTGTCGAGTAAAAATGCAGATTTTGTTTGATTTGAACGTTTAGAAATCAAACTTATGAGACAGATATTGCTAAATTTTATTTTTGATTCCCAATATGTAGTGTAATCAAAAGCTTGAAAAACAATTATGGAGAATTTGATGTTTCCCCATTTATCCCGAGCTTACTGCCCGAGAGGCCGCCGAGTGAAATGACTTGCCTTAAAGAGACTTTGTTTATACTAATAAAACTGAACAGAATGTTTTTGTGTTTGTAATAAACCATAACGATTTGTATTTTTTCCAGTTTGGCATTGATGTACTGATAATACACATACAGTAGGCCATGTAAACATGCGTCAGCAAACCACAGTGTTCTGTGAATCCCACAAACCAGCTTTACATGTGTGGTCTCTTGGTCACAGCCGCCTGAAATGAGTTTTGGTTGAGTGCCATTGAATAAGTACCAACGCTTCTGTCAAGTCAGTCCAAACTCCTTGGAGAGTCATAGGGATGATGGAGAGCTTGCTTTGCATCTTTGTGTTGAAATCATTTCATTTTCTGTCACAATGCGGTGCTGCCAACGATGCGGAGCTGCTATTTGTGCATTGAGCTTGTGAGTTAAAGTACAAAACTGTTACAGAATGTGCCAGAACCACATAATGATATCATTATGTCATTATTTGTTTTTGTTTGTTTTTTTTTTGTTGTCTTTTGTTTTGATTTGTCTGTCAGTCGACATCTCAAAAAATGCTGGTAAGTTTATTTTTTCAATTACAGTTATGCGCTTGGTTGCACTCATTTCATTACTTTATGGTTTGATTTGATTTTTGGTTTTACATTCAGATTTTGGCCATTTTTTGGTTGCTTTATTCACACTCTGCGGCTTTGTGAATGCAATGGATTGAGGTGAATGGGTTAGAGGGTTAAGCCTGGTGTGAAATACCTATCCTAAAGAGGAGGTTTGATCAGTAAGCTTTAATATGCCTCCTCTACTGCTACAGCTTTCCACCGCACCGATCACACTTTCACTTGATTTGTTTCTTGTCTTTTACAACCTCCAACACCCTGGTGTGCATGCATCTGAAAGCTCGTCACTGCATATTGTTATCATTATTTTGCAATTGGAGGGTACAATTCAAAGTTTTCCAATTTCATCTAGATTGATTTTTTTTTCCTCATTGTTTTGTGCATTTTCAGCTGTATGGTGAATGATCCGTGCTTACCGCAGAAGACGGCGTGGAAACACATTAAGTTGCGCATTGTGCTTTGCTCGCATCAATACATCGCTATGATGGTTTAAGACCGCGTGCCTTGTCGCATTTCATTAGAGACTTTTATGGGGATTGGATTTTGATTGTGCTCACCTGATCCTCATTTGTTTTTTTCTTTTATTGCTTTGTCGATTTTCGTTTTGTTTGTGTTTTGCTCTTGAATGCCAAATGCATGAATTACTCAGAGCCTGAAAGTTAAGAATTAATTTACCATAATTTATAATTGATGGCTTGAAACAAAAATCAACCGCTGTCTTTAATTAGCTCTTGTGTCTTCAAACAGTCCTCTGCATCTGCGTCATGTTTTTTTGAGTTTTTGCAGGGATCAAGCTGTGATGTGGGAACTGTTGTTATATCCCACTGTGCACAGATATATGGTGGCGGACACCTTAATTACTATGTTTGCGTGTATTTTGCTACCTAAAGCCTATATCATTCTCAGTAGGGCACTTTGACTTGCACAGGGTTGGATTGTCAGGCGGGTTTACAAGCCACAGAGCTGCAATGAAGTGTGACTTCCTCACGGCAAGATTCAGTCATGAGTTCAGCTCTTTCTCAAGGAGGGGAACGCTAGTATAGGCTTATTTTTCTCACATGTTTGACTAACCAAGACCTCCCTTAGTCCCCAGGCAGCCCGATTTCAGGAAAAAAGGCTTCGCTAATAGTTTTTAAAGAGGCAAAAGAAGGGTCGTGCTTGTCATTGTTTTATAGAAGGGTGATTTGTCATGACTGCGTACCGTTCAGGCTTATAGAGTCAGTATGATTTATTTATTTGTTTATTTTTATGTTTTTGATAGAAATATCTTGTGCTAGGTCTCACAATTTTCTATGGAGTTAAATAGAAAGCAGTATTCTGATTTAAAACAATGCTAACATACTAAATGCTAAAAACTATCATGCTGCTTAATATTCTTGATTTTTTTTTTTCTAGATGTCTTGTTCAAAACAGCGTTTGAAACATTTGTTTGAAACAGAAATATTAACATTTAGAAGTATGTTTACTCTCACAATTCATCCATTTTTAATGTGTTAAATCGATAAGTATTAAATAACAAGTATTAATAATAAATTGTAAAAGTATTAATAACATCTTACTGACTCCAAATCTTTGAACGGCATTTATATCTCTGTTTTTTTACCCCCAGCTATATTTGAATGCATTTCCTCCTCTCTCTCTTATAGTCCACTCCCCTGCATCTGGCAGCCGGATATAACCGAGTCCGAATAGTTCAGCTTCTGCTTCAACATGGCGCTGATGTTCATGCTAAAGATAAAGGGTAGGTCTGCTAATGTCTCAATTTGATTTCCTATATTTTTTAACATTCAACCAAAGATGCTTTTTCCATTCGCTTTTCAATTTTTTTCACTCTTGTAAAAGCTTTGGTTCATTAGCCTTCTATACATTTCTTATAATGAAAACCTCTGTATCATTTGTAAATAATGTTTTTCTCTCTCTCTCTCTCTCTGTGTGTGTGTGTGTGTTTGTGTGTGTGTGTGTGCTTGCTTTTTTGTGTGTGCTTGTGTGTGTGTATGCGCGCTCCATCTTGTCATCAATAGGGGTCTTGTTCCTCTACACAATGCCTGCTCATATGGACACTATGAGGTTACAGAATTGCTGCTGAAGGTAAGGACAAAAAAACGAAGTGGGAGTACTTTTGAGTGTTCGCTGTTTGGAAGACAAACAACTTTGTTCCAGTTGAGCAGCATGACCTAACCAGACACAATGCATTAAAGCAATTTTTTTAAAGCAAATAAAAACTGTAATTCAGATTGTTTTTTTGTTTGACCAGCTACAACTGCAATAAGACATTTTTTCAGTCACATGATTTCTGTTTTGTCACACAGGCTTCTGTGTATTTTCATTGATACCTAAATATTGCAATACAAATCTTATATTTGAATATAAAACAAGTTCTTATTTGCAATAATCGTTATCAATTCTAGTGCATAAATACTCATCACATCACATCTAGATAGCTTTGACCCCATGCCTTAGGTTATTTTTTAAGACAATCACCTATTGCACCTTTAACAAAATGTTTTTTGTAGTTTTAGTTTACCTCAGCTTTAACAAATAAATCATAACTCTATTGCTCACTTTTTTTTCTGTTTGACAAAAATATATATTTATTGAAGAATTTGGTTAACCAAACAGTTTTGGCTTCCATTGACTTGAAGTTTAAACCATTAAAAAAAATAAAAATAAAGAAGGAAACCTCCAAGTAATATACCTGCCTTAACACATATCTCATTCCAATAAGAACAAAAAGACTTCTTCAGTGATTATTATTATTATTATTTAGTTTTTTTGCATAAGCCTTATCTTCAGTGCTAATACAATCTCTCTCTCAAGCCAGACGTTCCTGGGAGTGTGGCCTTTAAGCCCAGTTTCTTTTATTTACAAAGCTGTAATGTGGAACAGTGTGCTCACGGTGTGTTCTCCCCGGCTCACTGTGTCAACAGAGCCCTGCCGTGGAGGCAATCTGTCTCTAAAACAATGTTTGGAGTTTGATACACAGCAGAGCAGAGTATTCACAGCCTCAGGAGAGCTTATCACAATATCAGTCAATATCAGACGCTGCACCCATCTCCTTAAGCCCCCTCAATCATTATATTAGATTTAATGTGATCAGGAAGACAATTATGAAACCGCTTATCATACATGGACGCATTGTCAATCTAATCTTGATGATTATAAGTTCCTCGGGAGCTTTTGTGGCACTCTTCTCGATTGCATTTCAGAAGAACGACTCAAGCGCAAGAGGGGTTTTATAGGGATAATAATAATCTGTATGTCGTGATACATTGTTTGTTTTCATAAGATGGAAGTGAATGACCACATCCTCCCAGTTTACACCTGGTTTAAAGGGTCTATAAATATCTGCTGTCCCCACAATGTGTCTGCAATTTTCAGTTAAAATACACACTTTAAATTATTAACAGTTTTCCGCAATTTGTTATTCATATATTTTATCTTTTTTATCTATGCTTTCGTAATTGCTTTATCTTATCTTGATCTTTCCAAAATGATTTTTTAAATATTTTAACAGTTTGAAGTGGTATATTGCCTGGATTGGTGGTGTAAATTATGGTTAATAAACTGGTCGTATCATGGGTTTCGTAGGTTGACTATCAACCGTTTTTTTCAGAGTGTGACAAGCTAACAAAACACAATGCTGTCACTCTGATACCAGTTTTATTTTCAAAGAAAATAACAAAGCACTGCAGTGTTTGGGTGTTCTGTGTTTGTCTGAGATAATTAGCCTACCAAATTGTGTATATTCCATACAAAGTATAAAGGTGATTGGTTAGTTGTCATGTGACTCTGTGCACTCGCCGCATTCATTCAACTGCGTGCGTCTGGATGGGCGAACTCGTCACACCGCTTATGCACGTAAGCTGCGCACCTCCGTTGGAAATAACGAACTTGCACGAACTGTAGAAAAGACTATAAGGCCGCTGTCATTTGCGATCTCCAGCAGTTGATCTTGCACAGACATGGTGGATTCACCTGATTTGTTGACAAATAGGCAACGAATCTATTGGCAGTTTGTGGGTCCTTTACTGGGCCTTTTTCCCTTGCAAAAAAATTTTCCAAAGGCGTCTGTTTCTTACTCATTTAGCTTCTTATGGGTTAAATTTGGGCGCTTAAATGAGCGAGATATAAACGAGAGAATATGGTTATTTTACAACATAAAAGATTTTTTTGAAATAAAAGATCGTTTATATGTTCAGATAATAAATAAAATGGAAATAATTAATGATTTCTTGTGCGGGCCGGTACCAATTGATCCACATACCAGTCCACTGCCTAGTGGTTGAGAACCACTGCTGTATCCCACTATGCATTTATACTGCGTTCTGTTTGTGTTGCTCTGCATTAACACTTCTGAAAAACTACTGTAGCTAGTAGTGGAGTTTCTATGTTCCTCTTTGTCGAGTTTCATTTTGGAGGTTTTGTTTACATTGGAAATACCTGTCATGCTACCTTACTTTACAAGAAGCTCAAACTTGCTCAATCAGAGGGAGGAACCGGACATGCAACAACCTTAATCAGGAAGTGAACACAAAACAAACGTATTCATCTGGAGCACCTCTACCGGACTCAACACTTGTTAAACACTCAGGCCAACAGGCTTGCTCCTCACTTACTGCTCTCCGCTCCAACCATGCTCGTCAATGCTACAAAGCCAACCAATAACAGTGCTTACATTACTTGTCGTCACAACGTTTAGTCAGGGTCGGTGATATATTATACTGTGCAAAGTTATAAATATAAAGAAGTATAGTATAAATGAACAAGTATAAATCAGCCTTAATTTATCATAAACTGCAAAATTTGACAAAAAAAGACTTAATTTTGGATTGAATATTTAAATGTGGCCACACGACACCAGATATTCATTTTTTTTATTCATTTTATTACATAAAAAATGCAGTCTCAGTTATCTATTCACCTTCATAGTATGGTAGATAGCAACGTGAACTTTGTCTTGTTTTATATAGCATTTAATGATGGAAAGAAAATTGAAAGCCATTTTTATGTAGCTCTATTCCTTTAATCATTTGATTCTATTTACCCCCTGCCTCTGAGTGCGAGTTGATGTCTCTGTCCTGGAGTACTGCCATTTTCTAGAAACGTGTTCGATATCCTTTTCCCTCAATGTTATTAACTCGGCTTCTGTTGCATAGCAGGATCCCTAATAGACAGAAATACATAATCTATGCTAAAACTGCTCTAACTGCTCAAGTGGAACTGCATAATGATCTCAGCGTGTTTGAAAATGGATGTGGAGACTCTGAGTTGGCTCCATCTTTGCGTGTGATCTCATCCTTAGTGTTTTTTTTAGCATGGCGCTTGTGTCAATGCCATGGACCTCTGGCAGTTCACCCCACTGCACGAGGCTGCATCAAAGAACCGTGTGGAAGTGTGTTCACTGCTGCTGAGTCACGGAGCAGACCCCACGCTGGTCAACTGCCATGGGAAGAGTGCGGTGGACATGGCCCCGACTCCTGAACTCAAAGAGAGGCTCACATGTGAGTTTATCTTCTACTTGCATTTACAAAACTACTTAATTTAGGGGTCAGTAGGATTTTGCTGCTCACCAACGCTGCGTTAATCATGTTAAAGTCCACATGAACCAGAAGTTGCAACCGCTTTTTTCATATTATGACGCAGTTCCTAGAGAAATTGAATTTTCAATGAGAAAACAGTGGGTGTGGCTTGTTTTTTATACTACGAGCTGATTGGATGTAGTAAAATAGGCATTTCATTCAGAAAGGTCAGGAAATGGGTTTTAGCAGAATTATTACAACCTGACAGACACCTCCTGCTCACCATTTCTGTTTGTTTTCTAAACTGACAGTTAAAGTATGTTAATCAAGTCCAATACCTCAAAATCAAGTCATCTGAGAATTTAACTGAAAGGAAGTGCATTTTCAGATTTTGATTAAAGATTACAAGGGCAAACATTTGTTTTCCCTAATGACATGCACAAATGTATTATTTGCAACAAAACTAGCAATGTGAGTTAACAAAATAATGTGGTTAATTTTGATTTCGCTTGTACTTTAACTTGTGTTTGGATAACAAATACTGTAATATTGTGAAAAAGTATAATTCAATTTAAATAGTTTTTATTATTTTTTAAATAATTGAGCTGAATTTCCATTTTCAAGTTAATGAGTTGTTGCTAAAGATGAAAACAATATAAAAATGTTAATCTATAAAAATTGTAACCGAAATTGGAAAAAAAATAAAAATAAACGGGGGCTAATAACTCTGACTTTAAATGTGTGTATATATACTGTTTTACCGACCTCCTCGTTTGAGTGTCGCAACATAAAAAAGCTCAGACAACAAAAGAATATATATGCAACTTATTTATTATATAAAACTAATAGAACAAATCAAGAAACAAACAAATGTCTAGGGAATAATAAAGAAAATGACAAACTTTAACTAAACATATAAATAATGCCAAAAAAACCCATAAGGTTGCCAAAAAAGATGGTCTTGGCACGAGGAAGGCCAAGTAGCCACACAGTCCTCCAGAAGCTAGCACACACTCGCATTTATTTGCTTTGAACTAATTGGTGAGCAACCATGGCACCCAATCAGGATCTGCCACATCCAACTGGAGTCCTGGGGAATATATTTATATACACACACACACACATACATACATACATACATACATACATACATACATACATACATACATACATACAGATGGTTGGGTCAGAACTTGGTGCAAGCAACATGAAATTCTCATCATGGATGTACAGCCGACAAATCTGCATCAACTACATGATGCTATCATGGCATTATGGACCAAAATCTCTCAAAACCATTTCCAGTACCATTAAGGATTAAGCCAGTTCTGAAGGCAAAAGAGAGTCCAACCTGGTACGAATAAGGTGTACTTAATAAAAATGGCCAATGAGTGAATATTAATTAAACAATGTAATACGAACTGTTTTGAACGAATGTGTTGTGTGGGTTTAGTCATGCCTTGATAATGCAACTCCTCCTACCACCATTACATTCAAAACAGCCTTATTTCGCATTGCTCAAGAGTGAATTAATGACAAGAGACCAGGATCTTTCACCAGCACTCAACATAATTGTCATCAGAGCCCACAAAACTCGTCCCACTCGTTCACCTCGCGAATGTAAGTGAGCCAGACTGAACTCCGAGCTCTGAACAATCACATTCTCTCTGGCACACAGACAGACACATCAAGGTTTAGAGAAAGAAAGACGCCTTTAAACAAACAATATTCTCATTGTGCAGTATTGAAGCGCAGAAGCGGCTGAGCTCCAGTGTGCTGATGAGGTTGGCAAGCGACGCTGTTATATATTTTTTCCTGCGAATTCTCCATCTGGCTTCTCCCAGTGTGGGGTGATTGATGCAGATCTGACTCAAACTTTACACTATTTGCTGTGTACAGGTTTTCCTTGATGTGGTATTTGTGCTGGTTTAGGTTTTGGGATTATGCTAGGAGTATTTTAAGATTCAAGTGGCTGTTTTGTAGTGCTTCTGATTTGTTAGTAAAGTGTATATGGGTTAAATTTGGATATTCCTTTAATAATTTCTATATTATTCCAATATTCTGTTGAAATTCTTGCTTCTGATTGGCTCTAAGGTGTGCAGTATAGTAGTTTCATGCACACCTGTTTAAAGTTTTTCAGTTGAGATTATATCTGTCTGTGGTCTGGCCCTCCAACCACCAGTATTGACAACAAACAGAACTCTCCCAAAACCTTTTTTCTGATCTTTTTAAATGAAATGTCTACTTTACTACATCCAATCAGCTCGCAGTAGAAAATAGCAAGCCATGCCCACTTTTTTGTTATTTAATATTCCATTTTTTAGGAAATTCATCACAAAATGAAAAAAACTAAATGGTCACAGCTACTGGTTAATTGCGACTCCAAGGTTGTTTTGGTCAAACATAATATTACCTCAAACATTAGTAAAAACCATAGTGACTCAGTAACAGTTGCCAGAGCCTTCATTCCTCCATAATCTTGAGAACACAGCTGGAGAAGATCAGCTACTCACAAATACACTCAAAAATATTTGAGAAGGGGTAGCTAATACCTGTTACTATGAGCTGTTAGATATGGCTGTGTCGTTTATACATACACACACACACATTATCTCTCTCTGTCTTACACACTCTCTGACTCTGCCTGTGACAGATTTAAGCTGGGAGATATGACGAAACTGATAGAAATTTGGTTAAATATTGCATCTCAAAGAGCATTAAGAGCATTACGGCCATCTGTAACAATAGTTTATATATCTAAAAATAATACTATTTTCATGAGTACAGGTCAGAATATGTTTTTTGATGAAAATTTTTGAACAAATGTTTTTGCCATGCCTAGTGATATTAGAGCATTATTTCACTCACGTTTTTATTTTATTTTTTCTCCAGGATGTTTGAAATAGACCACATAACTACATTTAATATGCTACTGTATGCATAGGAAATCCCTTTTGTACCTTTTATTTTGATGATTTGACTCATAGTAATGTAAAAATTGTAGTTTTATTCTTTTATTTTTCATATTAGTTATAAAATTAAACTTTATTGTATTTTATTAACACCCACTGCCCCCTCACCTAAATCCAACTCTCACAGTAATGTAAAAATAGTAATTATATAGATTATTTTTCATATTATTTATCAAATTACACTAATTTATATTTTATTAACATCTACCGCACGCATTTTTAATGTAAAAATAGTAATTATATCAATTATTATTCATATTATTTATGGAATTACACTAAATTGTATGTTATTAATGCCTACTGCCACCCGACCCTAAACCCAGCCCTCACAATAATGTCAAACTAGTAATTATATAGATTATTTTTAATATTATTTATGAAATTATACAAATTTTTATTTTAATAACACCTACAGCCCCCCAACCCTAAATCTGAACCTTAACAATAATGTAAAAATAGTAATTATATCAATTATTCATATAATTAATGAAATACACTGAATTGTATTTTATTAATGCTTACCGCCCCTCAACCCTAAACACAACCCTCACAGTAATGTAAAAATAACAATTATATCAATTATTAATGATATTGTGTATGAAATTACACTAAATTGTATTTTATTTATGCCTACCACCCCACAACCCTGAACCCAACCCTCACCGTAATGTAAAAAGAGTAATTATTGTACAGTCAAACAAATTCTGCTGATGTCCAAATCCACATCTGTATCCCTTCTAGACTTTACCGTTTAAACCTCAATAGTATCCATAGCAAGGCACAGTGACAGTTGTAGACCTTTTTGTAAACATTGAATGTTTTCTTTGCCAAAATGTTTTCAAAAATGATGTTTGTGTCTATGGTGAATATGGTAATGATATATAAAGATGATATAGAAATGAAATTATTGTCTCCTATTGAATTTCAGTGTTGTAGCATTATAAATCATGAAAACAACACATTCATATAGATGTTTTCTAAATTTAACAGTGTTTTTAAACATTATTTTAAGTCAGTTTAATAATAAATAGTAAATAATTTCTCATTAATTTTAAGAAGTGAATGGGTGGGCGAGTAGGAAGTTCTGCTAAATATCAGCACAGCTTTGTTTGTCTGTGTAAAATTTCCTGCTGTTTTCTTATTCACTAAACTCGTCACGTGTGCAGAAGGAATAATCTTCCCTCTCTGCCTTTCTTCTGAACAGAAGCATAACAAATTGAATGCTCGGCATTAATTTGATCAGGTCAGACGCTTCAGTCATGCATTTTAGGCATCCTACCTCACATTTTAAAGCCTTTATTGCATTGTAGCTGTGAAGCTTCAATTACTTTTTTTCACGCTTTGTCTTGATGAATTATGTCTACCAGTGGCTTCTGTCAGAGCGTCTTGCATCACTTCTCTAAATATTCTCTTTTTCCTCTGGCACAGACGAGTTTAAGGGCCACTCTCTGCTTCAGGCGGCGAGGGAAGCAGACATGACCAAGGTGAAGAAGACTTTAGCTTTGGAGATCATCAACTTCAAACACCCGCAGACGCACGAGACGGCACTGGTAAATCTGTCTGCATTCACTTTAAAGATCGGTGGATGAGGTTAAACATGCAAATATCAATATTCTGTTTTTATTTAATCACTATTATGCCATAATCTATGTAACCACAGAAGGTTTTTAGTTCACTTTATAATGCTTGGGTATAATAGTTCACATTCTACTTTTATTTGACTTTCCTCACTTACATAAACTTAGTGTCCTGTCCAAATATTGTTGGATTGACTGTATATTAATTATTTACTTAGCATCATGCCGCAATAACATCTGAATAATTTTCTCTTTTTTTTTTGTTAAACCATTGAAAGAGGTAATTAGTAGCATATGTTAAATCAATGAGTCGGACATATTTTTAGACACATTTGCATTAATAATTTGGCTGACAGTTTTATGAAGAGTGTCTTAAAATAAAAGAACAACAATAAAAGTAATTGATGCAAATATGTTAATCTAATTAGTCTAATATGGAATATTGGCCTGCAAAGAAACGTTAAAAGATTTAAAATAGCAAGGTAGTAATACATTTTCCCAGCATTTAAAAAAAAATTGTTTCCCACCATTTTTATTTATCTCAATTTTTCTAATGGTTAAACTACAGTAGATAAAAAGCATGCAACGTTTGAAACAAAGCAAAAATAAGATAGAATAGAAAAAATGCAAATAAAATAAAACATTTAAGCTAAATTTAGGAATTTTAGATTTTTTCAAAATTATTACTCACCCACTATTATATATTATGTGTTATTCTGGATAATTCTAATGTTTCAACTATAATAGGTAAAAGCATGACTAAATACTTTAAATGTATTATCAGTAAAGATGTGAACCTACACTAGTATCATGGTTCGGTTATGATTATCATGCCATCAATTTGATTCAATTCGATAGGTTGGTCCATCATGGTGCTAGATAATGCTTTCCATACACAATTTCATATTTTACTCTGCAACACAATATATTTTGTAATAAAATGAATATTTTTTAAATGTAATATTACTTTTATATTACTTAAACGTAAATATTACTTTCTGAGCATTGTCAAGCAAGTTGTTAAACGCCTATGATTGGTCACGCGCTCAATAGAAAGGGCTGCGCTGTTGCTGTTCACTGATGAGTGACACTGATAAATGGCAGCAGTGATCACACCTGATCTATAATAGCTGCGGGGGAGAAAACTCGCTCTGCAGACACACTCGTGTCTGGATCCACAATTATCACTTTAACAACCAAGGTGAGAGATAATGTCACAACAGCAGGTCAAAGAGGCCACAGTGACATTGAAAGAGAGAAATGGAGTTTACTTTCATTTTCTCTATAGCAGTGAAATAGGGTCTTCTTCTGTAACCTCAGTGTCAGTAAATGACTGTCCAGCAAACACGCAGTGAATTGTGCAGAGTTCCTGCATTTAATTACTCGCGCTCGCCTCCCTCACCATAGTATTTTACCACGACATACCACATATAATATAAATGACGTCAGTACATAATAACTGGTTAGGATCTATTACTGAACCACATTTACAACACAGTGCACTGAAGAAACAATTAATTTTGACAATTGAGCTAATTATCAAATTTTATTCCATTCCTATTGAAGTTAAAACAAGCTGATACGGCCCAAAATCCAAAACTGACTTTATTATTGAAATCAGGATTTGAGCCGAACATAAAAGACAAAGACGCTTGAATATGACAAATTGATGTCCACATCATTATATTTAATCTAATTTCAATCAACCTTACAAGAAGAAACAAAAATTAACATTAAATAACCAGTAGCTGTGTAGGGCAGCTAAACAAGAACTGACTACGACTGTTCTTCCAGCAGAGATCTTGCCTATCTCTCATGAAAATGAATAAAAACAGATGAATCTCCCAGACAACGGCTTGCCTTGTTAAACTAAACAAATAACAAAACGTGACTATGGAAATTAATATCCACTACCTGCTACAAAATTTAACAAAGTGTCCAAATAAACAAACCATCTAAGCAATCTAGTTAACACATTACGAATGCTAAAGAATCATAAGATAACCAAAGCATAACAATGAAAAGAGTGCTATGCAGAGCAATCCTGGTATACGTAGAGCAGCGCCAGCCAGACAGTGTGAGAGTGAGTGAGAGCCACCATTGCTGTCGGGCTTATATACAGAGACTCCCGATGACGTCACCTGCGTCATCCAATCTGGACAAGAAGTTCGCAAACTCCACCTAAAACTCAGACAAGCACAGAAACACAACACACAATTCTACCAAAAGCAAAATATACAGTAAGAAAAAAACTTTCTCAAAAAGAATAAAGCTTTTATTATTTATTTTTACTGTTCAATTTACTGCTTACGTTTTGTCTCTGTTTCTTCAACTTAAGCTAAACTTTTAATTTGATGGGTTGTTGTAAAGATGCTGTGTATACAAGTGTATCACAAAGCAATTTGCAGATGAACCTTGTGTGTTCATGTCCTCATAGTGTGAGACGACAGACATTAAAAACAAGCATAATACAGTAGAACATGTGTGTGCTCAGTGTATTCCTTGATTTTGTGAGTCTATTTACATCAAATAATTCACACAGCTGCTAATTTGCAGAATGTTCACAATGTTTTCTTTCATGAAATTTTTCCTAATGGTGAATAAATGTTTTAAAAGCACTAAGAGAGCCTCTGTCCTGTATTTCAGCACTGTGCGGTCGTTTCACCTCACCCAAAACGAAAACAGGTCACTGAACTGCTGCTGCGGAAAGGAGCCAATGTCAATGAGAAGAACAAAGAGTGAGTGAAAGTGAATGGATTGTTCTGGATTTACGAATGTTTTTACCTTGAAGACTTATAGCAAGGTGTTTCTGTCCTTGTCGTGATCTTCTCTGTTGGTCTGTTGTGCAGCTTCATGACGCCTCTCCATGTGGCAGCAGAACGAGCGCACAACGACATCCTGGAGGTTCTGCAGAAACATGGGGCCAAGGTACACAGCTGTTCCCACATCAGCAGGCGCTCCACATGTTCATTTGAGCTGCCACACACACACATTTACAAACCTGACACCTCACTTCACTTTCACAACTCACTGTACAGTCAGCTTGAAATGAGACACTGTTTTTAATGCACCTGTCAATTTTGGGCTTTTTGGCATCTCATCAAATGTTTTGTCTGTCTAGTGTACAGAAAACTGTGGAGGCACTAAAGTATGTCATGCACATGATGTGTCTAGTGCTCAGAATCTATAAGTACACCCCTTACAAATCTATCTTTTAAACTCAAATCTGGAGCTTTTCTAACAAAATAACTTATCATAATGGTCCAAAAACCAGTACTCCCAAATTTATGTTATAGAAAAAAGTAAAAACTAATTTTAAAAAGAGGATAAATCAAGAGAAGTAAAAAAATTAGAAATTTTGTTAAAATTGTAACCCTCGATACACAAATGTATTATAAGCTTTTAATCAATGGACCAGATGCTCAGAAGTCTAAATTCCTCCAAAGAGAGAGAAGATACAACAACAGTGAAGGACTCGGACACAGAGGTAAGAATAATAAAAGATTGTATTGTAAAATGTTCACAGAAATATATATAAAAATAAATAAAAATAAATAAAAATAAATAAAACAAATTCTAGATTTTTTCACACTTATCTAATGACCTCAATCTTATTTACACTCTCTAATAACACTTCTCTTTCTTCACAGGCTATATCACTAATAAGGTAAGTTAATATTGTTATTTTTCTGTTTTTCTATTGTTAAGGCTAATATTATATTTTGGTTACTATTATAACAATAATATAATATTAATATGCTAATAGCAGTAATATATTAAAGGTTTGCAAGTGTAAGTTAATAATACAATATTAAAATTGTATTATTATTTAACATATAATCAAGATTTCCCTTTTTAAATCAGTTAACCTCTCTCTATAAAGATTCAAAAATTTCAACGAATGAACACTAAAGGAACAATGTACAAATAAAATAAAAATGAAAATAAAACATTCACTTAAAACATTTCAAAATGTTCCAAAAGTCCAGTAAAGGTGATAAACTTTCAAAAAGATTCTTTTGCAAAACAACTAGGTTGCAAATTCAGTTCCAGAGATCCAGGATGTTGCACTTGTGAGTGTGTTGTAAATTTACACTCCTACCATGACGCTGAATAGGTTTTACTTTGTATCTTTTCAACAGGTGTATCCAAAGAATCCACTTAATGGGAGGCTCGCCAGTCCAACTCCACAATTAGACACGCCGATGGAAGTTGAGACAATCCAAATCCAGAAGAGAGTTCAAACTTCAATTAATTCGAATCCAGAGCAGATCACATCCAGCAACTGACGTCAATAGAACATCTCACCGATGAAAAACCAGAAGAAGATGCACAAACGAACAAAACCAAACAAAAAAAAAAACCTGGCCTTGAAAACACAAGGCCAAAGAAACCATTAGCATTTTACAGTGTATGCATTATCTTAGTTTAACATTTCTAAATAAACAGCAACAGTAAATAACCATGTATATGCTTCTCTATGCTGAATTTCTGTGTTTTTCCTATTTTTCTCTCCTATTTGGCATTTTCTTTTTACAAATGACAGCATTTTACTCTTTCACTTAAACTTTACACAATCACTTGTATAATACTCTGTATAATACTTTGTTTTTACTAGACCAAACAAATGGTTAATTAATGAAACACATTTTTCGACACTAGTTTAAATCATGTTATAATGAATACAATAATAATTAAATAAAACATGAACTCACCAAGGAAATCATTCAAAATCAAAACGAAACAAATAGGAAAACTCCAGGTGGCACTCGTGTGCAGATTTCACTCTCAGAGACAAATCTTGTATTTTCTCTCAATCCTTCATTAAAAATATATGATTGAAATCATGTCAGCATCTTATTAATGGTGAATTTTCACAGTTAATACGCATTAAAACATTAAAAGATGTAAATCTAATAGTTATATTACTGTTATTAATATAACAACTTACATCTCTGCTTTCCCTTGCGAAACCTGAATCACCATAGCAACGGTAAACACAAGCTAACAGACAAGCGAGATTTGTTATTGTTTGGAAAGCTGATCTGCTGCTATAGTGTAAGGCACGATGATGTCATTCTAAAGCACTATTCCCTTGAATGCTGTATAATACTCTATTATAAATTATTTATATAAGTAAATAATTTTTATGTATATTATTTAATCGAGTATTCTGCCAATGTTTTTTCCTCATACTTCTATTTGCTCTATTGCTGTATACTACCCACTAGTAACCTGGGTTACACATTCCCCCCCTGAATTCAGGCACGTCCTCGGGCATGTACGGGGTTGGGTTGTCACTGCAATTGGAAAAGGGTCTGGCACAACAAAGGGCTGATCTCTAGTGAGTATGGGTTCTTCTAACGATGTGGTAAAGGCAGAACTCAGACCTTGTAGTAAGGACTGAATGACTAGTGTCAAGGGATTTCCTAGTTTATGATATTCAAGCTTATTAGGTGGTCTACATTGCCTTTTTGAGCGTCTAGGGCCACTTGTATCTAGGTTTTCATCCACTATTGGCTGGTTACTTGAAACATTTTTGACATGTGGATTTTGATCATTAGAATGGGATACATCAACAGGATCTAATTCAAGCGCCCTTCTATGGATCTGTCCTTCAACACTATTTCCACTTCTTTCAGGTTCAATTTCTTTGGGGTCAATATCAGCAGGGTTCAGCACAGGTAAGAAATTCTCATTGACATCATCTCTTTGATTTTCTGTTAAGTCTTCTTCTAGTCTGGAATCAGGTAAGGTTTCTTTTTCAGGGTTCACCACGACAGGGAGTGGTTCAATGGGCTCTATGCCAGGTAAGTTTCTTACAAGCACTGGACTTTGTGATGAAGGTAACACAGTCGTTGTAATGGATTCCAACTGGCGTCCTGCATTTCTAATATATAGAGAGTCATCCTCAGATTCTGACTGATCACTCATTTGATGTTCTTTGGGAGCATATTCTAGAGCAGAGCTAGACCTAGTTCTGGGCTTACGTTGAACATTTGGAGGACTCATTTCTTCAATTTCATTTTCAGACAAATATCCACAAGGTCGAAGTAAGTCTCTGTGTAAAGTTCGAACTGGACCGGTCTTTCCGTCAGGCTGGACTACATATACTGGGAGATCTCCAGCTTTACGGATAACTACATAGACATCTGGTTCCCATTTGTCTGCCAGTTTGTTCTTTCCTCTTAGCCTCAAATTTCGCACAAGGACTTTATCTCCCACATCAAGAGTAGAAACAACCACATGTTTGTCAAATCTGCGCTTGTTACGTTGGGCTACTTTTGCAGAGTTTTTGATGGCAATTTCATAGCTCTCTCTTAAACCTTCTTTCAGATCTTTTACATACTGGGAGTGGGATTTGGTAGAACGATCCACAGGTAACCCAAAGGCTAAGTCGACTGGCAGCCTGGGCTGTCTACCAAACATAAGTTCATAGGGAGTGTATCCTGTTACATCATTTCGAGTGCAATTGTAGGCATGCACCAAAGGCTTGACAAACTCCTTCCAGCATGACTTCTTTTTGTTTTCAAGAGTACCCAACATTTGGAGAAGGGTCCTATTGAATCTCTCCACTGGATTTCCTCTTGGGTGGTAAGGAGTAGTTCTCACTTTGTGTATACCTGCGACGAGACATAGCTCTTTGATGAGGCTTGACTCAAAATCTCGTCCTTGATCACTGTGCAGTCTTTCCGGAAATCCATAATGTACTAGAAAGTTTTCCCATAAACATCTAGCCACAGTCTGCGCCTTCTGGTTTCTGGTAGGCACTGCCACTGCATATTTGGTGAAGTGATCTGTAATAACTAATATATCTTTGGTGTTACTCTGATCTGGCTCTAAAGACAAGAAGTCCATACAGACCAACTCCAATGGTCTGGTAGTCTTGATGTTCATCATTTCAGCTGCTTTTTCAGGAAACGCTTTTCTACGTACACATCTCTCACATGTCTTAATTTTCTCTTCCACAGATGATGACATTTTTGGCCAAAAGAATCTGGTTCTGACAAGGTCAAGTGTCCTCTCCATGCCCATGTGTCCCATATCATTATGGAGACTCTTCAACACTGTTCCACGTAAAGCTACAGGTAAGGCTAATTGATAGTGAGTGCTTTCCTGATCTTGCTTCTTCCTATAAAGCAATCCATCCCTTAATTCTAATCTGCTCCATTCCCTTATCCACAGAGTAACAGCAAGCGACTGGTCTTTTGAACTAGAAGGTTTTTCATTCCGCTGTAAACAATCAATAATGAATTTGAGATCAGGATCCATTCTCTGCTGTCTCTTTAACTCTTCGTTGGACAGGTAAGGAATGACTGGAAGACCATGCTCATTTTCTTGTTCAAACTCATTTGGTAATACATCTGCATGCAGGGCTAAGGACTCAACAAGGGCAATGGAAGGGTTGGAAAATTTGCATTTATGTGAGGAATTTCCAATCTGATGTCGATCACAGATGGCTTTTATGGCCTCTGGGAGGATAAGAGAATCTTCAACTCCAAATTCATCTAAATGATGAAGGGTAAACTGTTTAATTCTCTCTCTCTCTTTCTGGGATGCAGGGTCATCTAAAAGCTCACCATGTGGTCGTCTTGAAAGGCCATCTGCATCACAGTTTTGACTTCCAGCCCTATACTGGAGCTTGAAATTGTAAGTGGACAGACTTGACAACCAGCGATAACTGGTAGCATCAAGCTTTGCAGATGTCAGAATGTAAGTTAAAGGGTTGCTATCAGTTACGACCACAAATTCTGTTCCATACAAATAGTCACTGAATTTAGATGTGACTGCCCATTTAAGAGCTAGAAATTCTAGCTTGTGAGCTGGATACCGGCTTTCACTTCTTGTCAACCCTCTGCTTGCAAAAGCAATGACCCGCATTTGTCCCTCTTGTTTCTGGTATAAGGCTGCCCCAAGCCCAGTGGTAC